GGGATGGAGTTCTTATAGGAGTTAATAGCTGTTATGGCTTGTTCGAGTGCTGCAATTCTATAGGCAGATAATCCAGTGCTACCCTTTTAGTAAGAAATAGTGAACCTTTAGGATCCTGATCAGGAGTATACTAACTTGCTAAGAAAGGTTGCATAGCTTTTTGCACATCCAACATTACAGTCTTGGACTACCCACCAGACAGTCAATGTTTTCCTGACAAGATGGATGTCTAAGGCAAACAATATTGACACAACAACACCACATATACACTGGGGATGCATGCTGCATAAAACTGCTACTTGTTAATTACCATGGTTAAAAAGATGAGTTCGCCAGAATGGACATTAATCAGATATTACATGAAAGGATCATACAGTTGTTGAAAATTTTCATAATGTTAAAATGTGAGATGGAGTTCAGCTCCTTGGACTTGCATCTGGCTACTAGCAGGTCAAATGCAATCGAGAAAGATGACCTAAGACTGCTTTCCCATGCATAATGACCTATAAGTTTTGAGTAATTTCACTAAGACTGTACAATGCACCAGCAACTATTTAATGTATTAAAGAAGTAGCTTTGAGTGGTTTTTAGTGAGAATACTGTTTAATCTATGTGAATGACTTTCTTATTTTACAAAATAACCTATAAAGTCATTGTTGAGAATATGCAATTAGTTACCCTGTGAATATGAAGCGCCAGCTCGTAGCTCAAGCCCAAAAGATATGCAGTGATCTCTTTGATACACCATTAATAAAGATGGGGTGGGTAAAACAAATTTGCCGAGATTACAGTTGTCAATAAATTAAATAGGTTCCCAATTAAGAAAGAACTGCACGGCTTTCTTTGCTATGTCTCCTATAACTAGTACATCATGGACAATGTTGGGTCAATGCTAAGCTGATTAGAATGAGCACACATTTCAGATGGAGTACAACCTAGAATGCACCTTTCAGTCAAGGCACTGGTGCTTGATTATCCAAGACCAGCTAGGAAGGTTATTTCTGGATTCAAATGCCAGTAACATCAGGTAGAGAGCAGTTTTGTTCCAAATACAAGGCAATATTAAGTAGGAAGTCGTAAATGACAAACTGAACCAAGCTGAGTACCATTACTATAGCACCAGAAAAATAAGTGCTTACTGTGGTTTATTTCATCAAGCACTTCTACCTCACTACGGCTACCACTGTTAGGGGTTTCAGACATCTCTCAGACGACTTATAGACTAGATACAGCTACATGAAAATACAGTAAAGTTTCTTGAAAACCCGCGAGAGCCTGTCTGCTCACTGTATGTTCAAATCCAGGCAACTCGTTTTCTGTAACAGGTTGGTAGTGGTGAAAACTCATATTTTAAAAGGCCATATCTAGTCAAAGAGGTGGTGCAAATATCAAAGTTCAGTCTTACCTAGTTTTCCAATCCAGAGCTGGCTGACTAATAAGACCATATTTTATATCTAATGGTGGAATATTACTCAACTTAACAGCATATGAGTAGCTGGTCCCAAAATTTTCTAATATTTGGCCTAAAAGTGACATTCCTAGTCGACATTATGTATGGACCAGCAACAAGAGCAGACATCCACCATAGTCGTTGAGAGCTTGCCAGATTTTTATGATTAACAATGACAAGTGTACATTATGCTAGCTGAGGAAGGCCGCAGAACCATAGAAAACAGGCTATGACAAGATAGTAAGGAAATCTCACTTTAACTGCAGATACTAGGAGTGGCTGTTGTACCCTTACGACGTATGAAAACCACTCTGTTTAAGGTAAATGAGCCCTTTTTAATTGGCAACCATTTAAACCATTCGTGTATGACTTTCAGCAATCCAGTGTTACCTGGGCACATGTGGAACGTCTGTACAAACTGAATAATGGTGTTGCCAAAGAACTGACAATTATCTGGCTGAACAAGAGGGAAGCACAGAATAAAAGAGTAATGAATCAGACATAAATAAAAGTGAAAAGATGTACTCGAGACATCTACTGTTTTCTGGCCGTCTTTGATGATCCAGAAGAGGATGTGAATGTTTCTGGTTAAAGTCTTCTACAGTAGGTGCCTACCAAATTATTTTGTATGGAAGTTAATCTTAGGTCCAAACCAACAGCCTATACCACCACTAAGCAAATATGGTATCATAACTTCAGGTTTATGAACTCTACCAATATATCAGTACAAGTGTCTGCCCCTAAAAATTGTTCAGTCTGGACTTTGGTTGTACAGGACACACATCAGTTTAGCGATGGTTTATTAATGACACAGTCATGGATATGATAAATTATATAGAATGAATTAATGTAATAAACTGACTCCCTCGTCCATTAAGATCAACAGTAACGAAAAGCTAATTTTCCCTTCCTTGATAAGTGTATGACTTATTAACCTATATATAGAAAACGTATTTCCCCATTCTCCGATAGCAAATGGTTCCACAAATTAGCAGAGAACAACACTGTGAACTGCAGAATAATTAAAGCTATCTTAGATTTGAATTAAATTCCCGCCTAATAACATACAAATCGTGAAAGCCTAGCACGTTAGACACCAATGGAATAAAAATCCGCTGAAGCTTTCACTAAGTGTCATTTAGCCTGCCTCACGTTTGTGCAAATGCTGATTGCTACCATTACTAATCAATAACTATCCTACAGTTATCATTGAGTCCATCAATTAGCAAAGAGCAATGCCGTTTGCATCATCATAATGGAAGCTATCTTAGACTTGAATCAAGGACCATAATAAGATCACATTATCCAAGTGTCCATCTATATACAATAGGTGAAAGAAGATCCAATGACTTAGCAAATGAAATAATACCAAAGGAACAGGAAGTGTAGCTGTTACCCCCCTCTAATGACGCTGTCGTACATCTCTACTAATCAACAACTGGCCATAACTTTGGTCTTATTAAAATTCCACTCTGAATCCAAAAGTCAGAAGCTATCAATTAATAGTGGTGGATTGCTCTACCGTCAAATGTACCAAATAGCAGTGGTACACCTACGTTTTGACAACAATATCCATAAGTTGAAGAAAATCGTAAGCAAAAGATGGATCATAGCTTCGAAAAAGTAATCTTAGTAATCTTAGATTCGTTTACGATCCTCAAATTTAGTCCGATATATTCATCAAGATTAATACAATGTATCAGAAATAGAGTACAATCCTAGAGTTTTCGGTGTTAATATTCTCCAGGATCTTAAGATAAATGAAAAATCGCGACGGGCTGCAGAATTATTTCTCTGATGAGTATTCTACTTGACAAATGTTAAACACATTCCTATGAAAGAAATGATCTCCAATCTGTACTTCTTAATCCTCAAAGAAATAAAAAAAAGATTACAAATACGATTAACTTGTCCAAAATCATTCATACTATTTGTTCCTAAATCCACACAAATAGGCATATGTTATTTATTTTTCAATCCTTAAAAGTGAGCATGATTTATATCAGTAATCTACTCATCACATACCAAGCGATTGTCATTTTATTTTTCTACATAGATTATCTGGATCCTAGAAAAAATCTAATCTTCTTTTCTTCCCCATGTTTAGAAACAGCAAGAATGTTTTTTTTTTCAACAAGTAAGCAAAAAATGTAGCCGTATTGCACTAATTGAGTATTTGTTACAATGTAATATAAATACTTACATTGTTTCGTATAACATATGTGAAAGTTAAAACCACTCATGAATCCAAATTAAAATAAAACCCCTTTTAAATTGCTTTAATTTCATATTTTAAAGAATATTCAATAATTTAACGCTTAATTTTATATTTTGAAGAATATTCAATAATTTAACGCTTAATTTCAATGTTTATAAATACAATTTTACAATTATATTTATATTACAGAAACAGTTTTGTTTTGACAGCACTACACATTGCAAGTACGTATGAGTTGATAATTTTTGCCATGAATGTGTAATTAGTGTAAAGGTGGTAAAACAAAAGGTGTAACTTGAGTTTCCCACCGAAAAATCAGAGATTGAAACATACAAGACACTATAACTTTAAAACACTTTACAATAGCGAATTGAGAGCTTACTCCTACACAGGCTAAAGACAAGTCAGTTAGTCAAATGCAGAAAAATACTACTAGGTTAACTATTTTCTCACTAATTTTCAAATTGCTGATTTGCTTATATATTGTTCATTTCCAGTTTGGTCCATATATTGCATCAGTTTGAATAATTTTATGCTTTTTGGTTATTGCAACACTCAACGTAAAGGACCGACAAAAAAAAAAAAGAAAAAGAAGCTCGTTTTATAGAATTCCACAGCAGTAATTAAACGGATTAATTGCAATATTAACAATATTATTGTTTAATTTTGTGTGTGTGATCTTATGTTATTAGGAGCATGTAACAAACAAAGACATAAGCTCATAAGGTACTTGATGCATAAATGGTTTAGAAAGATGTGTTTAAAAAGTCAGTAGAATCCATTGGTAATTCTAAGTTTAAACCCACTAAAATGGAAAAGTTTTGATTTAACTATCTCTTAGGAAGACCCTGTAACCGAACGGTTCTCATGATTACTATACTAGTTAAACAGTGCTAAACTCATCTTACGCGTAATTAGTAAGTCATTACCATCGTAAAAAGGCTAGTAATTATTTGACACTTCGCTCTAATCTTCTAAAACAAGATAAACTAATAAAGATTAAAAGTGTAGCACGACGCTAGTGGGCAAAGCCAATTCCGAGGTGTTAACAATTGAAAAACCATGGAGGAAATACTTCCTGACTCTCCTACTCCCCACGATTTACTAAATTAAAAACAAAGAAATAAAACTCTATCCGATCGTGATTAATATTTGAAATGTAGATTAAAGATAATAATTTAATGAAGATAGCTTAACTATAAACGTTCTGACCTTGAGTATTGGACAAAAATAGTTAGAACTTGAGAACTTTTATTGAGTAGTAAGAGCGCTTGATAGAACAGCTACTAAGATTTTCTCAAAGACTTCTTGCTTTTGGCCACATGACGGCACCAGCAAGTGTGTAGCGGAAGTCGTTGGTAGTGAATTCTTTCGTTCGTGTCAGTGCACGTCTGAACGAGAAGACATAACCTAGAGGGCGCACATCTCTCAAGAGCTTCTGCTTGTTCGTTTCTCGTTTTGTTTTTGTCTTTTCCGTTGTATTAAGAAGTTGAATAGCTCCTTTGTATACAAAGCATCTTATTATGATAAGTTTGGTCAGCGAAAGAAACTAGCTATACCCAGTTGGGAAGTCATTGGTATTTAAAAAAGTAATATCCGTTGTCGGCTTATAAAATATGCTGGGTTCTGACTTACTAAAGACGAAGTAAGGAGTCTTTCGAGTTTTAGTGAATTACAGAAAGGTTAACATGGGTTTGGAAAAGAAGCAGATATTGGGCCAGTTATTCCCTGTTGTACTGCTGTTCTTGATATATTATTTCTACTTAGCGTCTGCTGTAAACGCAGGTAACTTAGCTTGTTCTTTTGTTAAGTATGCCTATTCAGCGAAAGGATTCGACGACAACGATGTACCAGGAAAAGCTATATTTGGTAAGTATTTCAATTATTTTTGTTCTGTTTATTGACTAGGTATAATAGCGAGCTGAATTATTTAGATAACATTGGTGTTATATCTGATGAAGGCTGTTTGCTATAATCATAAGGTCCTAGACAATGCACTTCAGTAAGAAATTCCCACTAAACAGTTTAACGTATTTATTTCAGATGCTTCATTGATAATAGTTACACGTCTCTTTACCTTGTCCATAATCTACCTATTTTTTGGAGAATCATGTTAGAGAAAAGAATTACCTGAACACATACATTCATTTTTATTTACTTATTAACATTTTACTCATTTAAGTAATCTCTCATTCAGCTTCGTTTCCACTTCAAACTCTGCGACTTCAATGGTTCAAAAACGTATGTAACCTATGTCAATATTTTAAATTACATTTGTATTGTTTGTTCAGTTGTTAAGAAAATGTCACCTTCTGTGTGAATACGTGGATGGCTGGCTTACTAATAGTTTCATTTTGCAAATAGCAATATAAATATATAAATGAATGAGGTATCTGTACTTATACGTCTCTTTTCTTCCTTATTATTCTTGTGTGTCGGATGGGTGTGTGTGTGTGTGTTTTTCTTATAACAAAGCTACATCGGGCTATCTGCTGTGTTCACCGAAGGGAATAGAATCCCCGATTTTAGCGTTCTAAATCCACAGACTTACCGCTGTCCCAGCGGAGGACGTGTCGAATGGGACTGAAGATATATCGGACGGTACTGGACGGGTTTTACACGGACCGATAATAAGAGACAGGCATGACGGGCTGATAATAATTTTAAAAACATTATTTTTTAATGATTCAATACGGGTTTTAACCAAGGAGATTATGCATTTTTGTATTATTATCAAACAATGCACGTTGTTATACCTATTGCCGCAGACGAATTAGTTTTAGATTCTCTTTATTTGTTGTTTCCCCGCTGGCTGAGCAGTAAATATCAGGGCTTATCACGCTAAAACTCTAATTTTAATATCCGTGATGGGCAGAGCACAAAGCTGAAATAGCCAGCCCAGTGTGTAGTTTTTTCTACGTAACAAACAAATCATCATTTGTCCACTTTTCAAAAGATGGTGGAGTAATTACACAAATGCCTAAACATAGGATGTTTCATATCTGTTGTTACACTTTTTGTTATGATCAAAATTAATTCTTTGTTTAATTTTATCTCATACATACATATTCTGTAAATGAATATTACGACCCTTAGATTAAAGTATTATGCACTGTTTCAACTAAGAAACAAAACAAACAACAACTAAAAGGAATACAGTATTATTTTACTTTTCTTTTACATGGAGAGAATGTTTGCTTCGGTATTTCGCGCCAAGCTACACAAGGGCCAGCTGCGCATAACCGAATTTTAAGTTGATGAACTAGAAGGAAGGGAGCAACCCGCCGTTAACTCTTGTGTGCTCGTATAACAGAAGTTGACCATCATTCTTGTCGTGCACCTACGATCTCAGAGTGAAGAGTGTATGTTTGCAGGTTCACAGTTCAGACAAAGTGAGTTGTTATGATCAGATGGATTTCTTCCACCTGCGATATATATTAGAATTTAATGATTGTTTGTTTGTTTTAGAACAAAGCCACATTAGGCTGTATGCTCTGTCCACTCTGGGGATTCGAACCTCGGATTTTAGTGTTGTACGTTTGTAGACTTACCGCTGTCCCACCGAGGGACAAATATTTTGATAGATTATTACAAAAATTCGCAATTTACTGATATTTTAACAATGAAGAAAAATGTGTCGATATTTTGTGGATATTTTTACACATTGTACGTAATACATTCGAATGTTTGTCCATACGAACTGGTTTGGTGGTAACCGTAAAAGCGTAAAGCATAGTCATCTAACTACTATTGCAAATATGAAATCATTTGAAACTATAATACATTTTTTTTCATACATTTCACCAATCACAACTGAGTAAAATTCAAACCCATTTAAAAGGGTCAAATGAATATGAATATAAAGCGTAATGGACTTTTGAACTGTAAAATCAAGAAAATCAATAAATTCCTTCTGTATACAAGATTGGCAGATTATTGAGGCACAGTATGTAAATACATAAATTATTGTATCTAAATACTCTAACCAATGAAATTGAAATAAATACTGGTGAAATGTGGCGAACAATTTAATGTGGGTAGTACCATAAAGTACACTCCCGATAATCTGCTACATTGCACAAAAGAGAACCAATGAAATTGAAACAAATACTGGTGAAATGTGGCGATCAATTTAATGTGGGTAGTTTGTTTGTTTGTTTGGAATTAAGCACAAAGCTACACAATGGGCTATCTGTGCTCTGGCCACCAAGGGTATCGAAACCCGGTTTCTAGCGTTATAAGTCCACAGACTAGGGGGCAATGTGGGTAGTGCCATAAAGTACACTCCCGATAATCTGCTACATCACACAGAAGAGAAATTAAGTTTATACTTAAAAATTAAATTTTCTTTCTTGCACCAAACCAGCTTTACTAAAACTGAGATAAAAACAACAAGAAAAATTCGTGTGACAAAAATAAATTAAATATATTACCACTGGGCCAAAAAATGAGACATAATCTTCAAAAACTTGTAGCGTGTTTTGAGCATAGACTAGTTAGTGAACTGTATAACGGAGGATGAAAACATAATTTTATGTTTCCATTATGATCAAATAAATTTTAGTATTAAACATTCACCAGTTAAAACAAAAGTATAACTTCTGTTGCGACATCAATTACATTTAAATTACAACAATCAGTAGGAAATAGTAATTTTTCCCTAATTAATTTTTAACGTCGTTACTCCTAATAGACTTGAGAAAAATATCGTAAAGACAGCATAGGTCCAACCTACTTATCTAATCCGATTAAATTTCGAAGGCCAATTAGTCCTGGACATTATATTGATGCAATTATTATAAATATATTTATGGGTATGCAAATAATATTAAAAACTCATAAGCTAATTGTTACCGGGGGGTCAACGGTAAGTTTACGAGCATTACAGCGCTAAAATCCGGGGTTCGATTATCCGCGGTGGACAGAATGTAGTTACCCCATTGTGTAGCTTTGTAATAAAAAAACAACAACTAAAAGTACTTGATTCAAAACCTTGAATTTTCATGTTACTTTGAAAAGAAACCAACCATTAACCTGTACTTTTGTCGATTCATTTCACCACCAGATGATGCCTCATTCTGCTACAAGCCTCAAGTGCTGGATGTACATCATGAATCGACTTGAGTGTATATTGTGAAATATACAGTTTACAAAAATACACAAAAAGCAGTTAGCCTATTGTGTAGCTTGGCACTAAAAAACAACAACAAATTTAACACGAAATTTAACTGGAAAGCTGTATGACCTCAAACAGTAAGTAATTCATGGGATAAAAAACCAAACCAAACTGAGTGATGAGAGTTCTAGTGTAACTTGACGAGTTCATTTAAACTCCAATCAGTTAAATTACATAATCAGTTAAGTATGCTATTAGACACGATTTTACAAGACCTGCTACGGTATTATTATTATTATTTATTTATGCAAACAATGAAACGCCCGTTTGATTAAAAGCGTACGTACTACAGTATGCGTAATAGAAATAATGAAAGACCTAACCAGAAATGCTTATTAGTTGTGTTATCTTCCTTGGCTCAGTGTTATCATCCTCAAGAAGAGTCTAGTTTGTTTGTGTCTGGAGGATTAGCTTTGTTGAAAAGTATTTCTTTGCTAAGTGTTCTCTTATTAAAAAAAATCCAATCCGCCACGCCTGTTATTATAAGATTCACGTTTGGTCAGCATGGTCACTTGTCCAGGTGCAATTCACATAGTTACTTATTCAGGAAGCCTCTTACATAGTATTTAGCATGTAGGTGTGTATATGTGTATTTCGATAGCTGGAGGGGGTTTGGTTCCTCTTGGCCATTCATTGGCATCGTTCCGAGGTTGTTCGGCCGCCTGCTTAAAATAAAGTTGAAACCATTGTCACTAGGGGCTGGTGTAATGTACAAGAAATTCTAGGTAAAAGCAATTCGAAAACTGTTATCAGAGGGTTAACCTCTAATAGTTTTTTTTGGGGGGGGATATAGACCTTAAGACTGAAAGACACACACACACAAAAAAGCTTTATCACCGAGGAGATGAGGCACAGATCCCCGGGATCAGCAAAGAACTATTGATGTGGTCCCTTTCCAGGTTAAAATATGAGCCTCCCCATCTGGTAATACCCATATAACAAATTCCTTGGATGCCAAAGCGAAAGTTACTTTGTTCATGTCAGACAATGACCCACATAGCTAGAAGTAACAAAATTTTCATTCCAGTAAACTTAATCTATATTTTACACATGTCGGAATAGAACTGGAAATGGTTTATATTTAACAAACAGGTATAAATTCGTATTTGTTACATAGCGATAAATATAACTGTCCTAGCAAAACTTAAAACTCTGCTCTCAAAGTGGTCTTAAAATATCGTTCTGTTCATAAAGTAAGGGTACGTATTCTTTAACACATCAGTATATTTAATGACGACGAAGTACAAAGGTACGTTATAAAATTTAGTTATTTTGCTTATTTATTCGTCTTACCAGAAAGCATTTCAACATACAGGTAGTTCTAATAACGAAATTAGACGTTTTTCATTGTAATTTTGTGCTTAGGTGTTTTTTGTTGTAATTCATTCATGCCAGACCAAACTTGTTTCTTTTGGAAGTGTAAATCTGGCGCGCCACCTATGAGACCAATCAGTAAGTTCTGTACCTACCTACTTATTTCTTATTATCTCGTGTCGGGCATAGTGTAGTAATTAGTGTTAGACACATCAGTTATCTCTTAGTAATGAATAAGGAATATGTTTGTATTATTACTTTAGCACTGTGGTAGATCTGTGGATTTTGGAGCTGGCATGCTGGGTTCCGTGCAATACCAAAAACAACAACAACAACAAAAAACATTCCCTGAACTTTTAAGCTGTGGGTGCGTAAGAAA